ACATTAGGTGATATTGCAGAAGGGTGCTTCTCTTCTATTCCAGAGAAATGCATCCAAGATCCCAACCCAGCATAACGATTTTGCATTCATCACAACAAAATTCAGATTGATATATTTGGATCAATGACATTTGTCCAATGCTAGGTGAAAACCTTCACATGGCAGTTAGTTACATGACTTCAGGTTCCATAAAACATATCCTGCACTCAAAATAACAAATGCAGCAGCAGAGGGGTCAGGTCAGAAAACACAACAGTCCCCATGCCCCAAGGGAACCCCAAAGGAATGAGAAAATGCTGTGGCACAACAGAAGTGAACTTAACACCCTCAGTTCCTGCCCTGGATGGGACCCAGATGAGTCAGGTTGAGTTTGGTATGGGTACATCTCCAACTGCTCACTGATGCTTTTGCCTTCTGCAAAAAATGAATTCCAGAGAACCCACATCATCAGCACCTTGAAGTGCTTACACTTTTTTATTTTTTGTAGACCTACACTGCAAGATTAATTTGTTCCTTGGTTTGACCCTCTGAAATCCAGTGCAGCCCTGATCTGGCTCTATTGATGCCCTGGAGTCCAAATGGGCTCAAAACCTTCACAGTTTATGCTCACAACAGACAAGAGTGATGAGAACTCTTCCACTTGGGAGGCACTGAAATTGAAAATACCTTGTTCATTCCTCACAGGAATCCTGTGGCAAGAATGGGAACCTAGTACAGATCTTCCAAGCTTCAATGTGGAATATTGAACAGGTCTTACTTCCTCCCTGAATTCTCACTGTATAGTAGTGCTTTAGAAATGCCTTTTTTAAAGAGTAGACAAAGCAACTTGTTCATGGGCTGCTGATGCTTAAAACCACAGACATTTCTTTCTGATCCTGTGGTCAGAATTTTCATCAAAATGCAAACCTCAGAGGAGCAAGGACATTGTAAATGGTGCCATGAAAATATTCTCATTAAAGCTCAGGGCTTGATGCTACATTAATCAGTTATGTACTTCTCTATAACAAGAAAATGTAGAAATATCTGGGCAGACTTGCTTAGATCTTATATAGCAGAGAATGTGGAAAAAACCATCTGTAAACCTTTTAACTGACTTTAAATGTTCATTTGACCATAACTATTTCAAAGGATTGATAAAAAGTATATTTTAAGTTAGCATCAAATTAAAAGTTTAGGAAAGAAAACTCAGAGGCTATTTTATTGTCTTTACATCTCTCTTTCAAATCATACTAATTTTCCTTTCCAACACTATTTTACTGTATTAAAATATAACCACGCCAGAAAAATTTCTCATTATGTTAGCAAAAATGAATACAAGGTAGATAGTATACTAACACAATGACTGTAATCTGCTAATACAATAAGGCCTTCCTATTGTGTTTAAAGAATCATCCAGTTCTTGATCATTTTGACACAGTTTGAAAACTGTTTCAAAAGGATAGAATAGAAATATGGAACATTTCACTGCTTAAGAAAAAGTTTATGTCTTCATTTACTGCTAAAAAACCAGATAATAATGGAACATTTATGTTGGAATAGATTTCATTTCTGCAGTAGGAAATTGTGTATATTTTGTGGAAATAAGTATGTACAGGAGTATTTGTGATTAGCTAAACATGTTTTCAAACCTGTATCCAAGGAACTGGTTCAGGCCTTCAGTGTGTTCTAGAGCTGGCCTGAAAACGTGAATTGCACTGTGAGAACCTGCCATGGGGACCTGGCACTCGCACAGCCTGCAGCTTTTCTGGGCTCTGACAGCTCTCACCACTTCTGTGACTGGCACTCATGAAGAGAGTTCCAAAAAGAACCCAAAATACATCTGACAAAGTACACTATCAGAACTGGGACTCATGGTAGTGTCTGTAAATATCCCACAGCAGGGAAAGGAAGAGATAAAGATGGATAAAGAAAAAATCGCCAAGAACCTGACAAATCATAAGAGATCCTGGAAGATTCAAATTAAACCTGTTGTTACATTTAATTGCAGCAGTCCTTCCTTCTAAAGTTCAAGTCATTTTTAATAACAGCATCAGAAATATCTGAGCTGTAATTACTGTGGTGTGCCAGTTTGATGTTCCACAGGAATCTCAAAGGCATGACTCGTTTCATTCATGAGAGTCATTGCTTGGCAAGTCTCCAGGATAGGAATTCAAGTGAGAAAGGAAATTAGATCAGTTGACCAAAAGGAAATAAATCAGATTATTTGAATGTTTGCTCAATGGGGAACAGAAAACTGCCATCAGAAAAAGTCGACACTGAATCAAGTGTTGGCCACAATAGCAGCCCTCAGAAATTTGATGTAGGGACATCAGGGCTGGTCACAAGGTTGTGCTGCCTTCTATTTTCTTCTGCAGATAAAGACTTTACACATTATTTCAACACAAAAACCCAGCAGTAAGTTGCAAATTCTGATAAGTAGCCAGCAAACTCTTTTGTAGTTTCACCAAGCACTTACTTTGCGGATACAAACACTTCTGGACTGATGAAAGTCCAGCAGGAGCCCTTGCCACCATTTTTCCTGTGGAAAAATCTGTGAGAAGTCAGAATTTTTTTGTGGGAGGACTGGAGATTACCCTGAAAATGTGGCTTTTAAAATGACAAACACATTTAATTTGTACTTATAAAATACAGTTAATGTGGATACTTGAGTAATTCATTTGTGTGCACCACCAGTGCCATTCTTGCTACAAATTGCTAAAAAAGGAGCATGATGTTTGGATACAAATTGTGTAATGAAATTAAACTTGCCTTCTGAAAATGTATCCCTACCAAACATATAAATTTACAGGTCATAAAGATGTCAAACACCTTTTAATTTTTTGAGTGTGTTCACATTGGGTCACATTAAGAAAATATCATGCAGCCTAATGGTCTAACAACTCACTAGAACAAATGGCAATGCATATCCAGTATCAATACACTTATTAATTACCAGTTATCTGTGTACCAAATACAACCAATTATTCAATGTAAATAAAATAACTCTCTTAAAAATTGATTTCCCAGATGAGAGGAAAATCTAGTTAGCAAGCTGAGTGTGAAATTTACATGTAGTTCATGAAAAAGTGATTACTTACGGAATTAATTGATTTTAGAAATGAATCTGAGGACGTAAAATTATGGCATAAAAGGAAAACAATCTCAAGATCTGATTTATGTTCATAAGAAAAGCATTTAGTTTTTCCTTCCATGCACAGCCAATCCCAGAAGCTGGGATCAACCAAGAAATCCCTACTCATAGCCATATTCCCAATTATCCACCTTCACAACCCCTGCCCTTTTCTCATTCCCCTCTTACTTGTCCACAACTGGGTTGTGTTGTGGTTTGGGGTCAGCAATTCCTTTCTCAAAATTCTCATTATAATATTGAGATAGAGTTTTCAACCAGTCAAACTGTCACTCAAAAGTACATCTTCTCACAGATTATTTGGGAGATGGGAAACCTCCTGTCTTTCAGACACATTTCAGTGCTGGTGATGCCAGCCTTGTCCCTTCATCTTTTCCTTGTACCTTCCTTCCCGTTGCTCCTTCTGTGCAAAATGTTCTTGGTGAATCACATTCAGGCTGGTCCCAAATACCTGTGTTGTCTGCCTCACCTAGGAAAGCTGAAAGGACAAAGTGTAACAGAATCTTAGAGATTTGCTCTGCACAGACTTCGCATTTTTGTGGTTTTCTCATTACCACATTAACCCAAGGCATTACCAGGAACTTTGGAAGGATTTTTGAAGAGTATGACCCTCATCATTCTGTCCCAGCATAAACATTTTGGTGTGGCTCAACTACAAGGTTTACTGTTGGAAGAGAGATGCCATATTTCTTTATGGCAGCAAGGATGGCTGTCCTTGACAACTTGATGCTTGTCCTTCTTCTGAAACAAGCTCAGGTCTGATGAGGAGGAGCTGAGGGAGCTGAGGGTGTTTAATGTGGAGAAAAAAGAGGTTCAAGAGGGTGTTTAGTCTGGAGAACAAGAGGCTCAAGGGGAACATTATCGTTCTCTGAGATCCCTGACAGGAGGCTGGAGCCACACTGGAATCGGGCTCTGCTCGCAGGGAACAAGAGATATGGTGAGAGGAAATGGTCTTCTGTTGCATCAATTGAGGTGTAAGTTGGACATTAGGAGCAATTTTTTCACTGGAAGGATGACAACATTGGAATGGGCTGCCCAGTGATGTGATGGAGCCACCAGCCCTGGAGGTGACGCCAGCAAGGACTGCATGTAGCACCCGGTGTCATGGTCTGGCGGACACAGTGGCGTTGGGTCCTAAGTAGGACTCGGTGATCTGGGCGGCCTTTTCTGACCTGAATGGTTCTGAGACTCCGACAACCCCTCACCAGCACATGCACCCCCCCAGCCCCGCCGCCCCCTTCACAGCGCTCCCCTCACAGCGCCGCCCGCCATGCCCGCCCCGCCCCTCCCGGCACACCCGGGCCGCCACGCCCCGCTGCCATGGCGACCGGCGCGCCCGCTGATTGGCTGCGCCGCCCCGCCCAATCCGCGCGCGAGGTGTTCCGGCGGTGCCAAGATGGCGGCCAGGTAAACACGGCCGCGGGCGGCGGCGCTGAGAGGGCTCTGCGGGCACCGGGGCACGGCGAGAGCCCGCTGCCTTCCCCTGGGCCGGCCTTGAGCCGCGTTTCTCTTCGGCTCCCCTCACTTCCCCGGCCTGCCGCCTCCCCGCACCGGCTCTCCCCTGCCGGGGCCCGGGAAGGGGAGGCGGCTCTGCGGTCCCGGGAAGTTGCCCCTGAGGAGGCACAGGAGGCGTTTGCTGCTGTGTCGCCCTTAAACTAAAAGGAGCTGTAAGCAAACACATAGGGGCACAACTTTAAAGGACGAGGAGTGGGGAAAATAGTAGTCTCAGCCTCTGTAATCAAGTTGTCTTCTTCTTTCTGAAATAGTAAGTATTAGCACCTTTATAATGTGCTTATCTAAAACATGTAGGAAAAGCAAAAATATTTCTGATGACATGCTTTGCTGTTTCTGTTTCTCTCTTCTGCAGGTTGTTTTTGTGTTGGGATGGGTAACCTGGTGTCTTTGCAGTGACTTGAAATAGTTTGGACTTGATATAACCTGGAAGATGTGGAGTGGGCTGTTACCTCCAGGACTGAATGAAAGTGATGTTGATCTGAGTTCTGATGATGGAGACGAATCACCTGATTCCTGTTCAAAGCAAGAGGCAAAAGAAGATACTGAAAAAATTCAGGGGACTGGACAGGAAAGTAATGCCAGCAGTGACCCTCTTGTACCAGTGACAGATGAAGAAGGTGAATTTCAAACGTGCCCTCCTGGAGTTTCTGTAAATATCTGGAATGTATGTATCATTACAGGTCTCCAAATGAGCATAATGCAGTGTACTCAAATGGTTGATTTTTAAATTAAAGTAATTAACTGTTGAATAGTCAATTTACAGATCTGAAATTGGGTTAAATATGATCTGAGTATACATTGTTTGAAGCAAGGTGAACAGGAATTTAGGAAGTAGTTAGATGGTAGTTTGGTGGTGATTGAAAGCACAGCAAGGAGCTGTCATAACTATACAAGTGCATAAAACTTGTGTTTTCAGTGGTTTATGGGCTGTGAGCTGCTTGGTAGGTGCTTTCTGCATTGGTAAGGATTTAGAGCTCAGTGTTTCATACCTGGGGAGGGGAGGTGTGCCCTGCTGCTTGCTAACTGCAAACATTCAGACTCAAGAGTTCCTTATAACCTCCTGATTTTGCAGTTGCATGTCAAGACTGGGGAAAACAAAAAACCCTTAACAAAACAATATGGTTTAGGCTTTAGATTCAAAATAAGAATTGACAAAAAATAGTTGCCTTCTTTCACCCCTCAGTCCTTGTAGGTAGCCTGCTGTGCAAGGGCCATGCTGTCACTACTTTGTGGATTACAAACTACCAGCTAGGCAATAAAAATCCATGGTATAGCTCAGGAAAGCAAAAGTGTCTTCTGTGTCACATCCCATGGGAGAACTGTCAGATCTGAACAGCCCTGGGATGTAGGGAGGGCACAGAGTCAGAGAGAGGTGATGAAAGATTGGCACCAGTTCCAGTTTAACACCATCAGCATCCCATGGTCTCGATTTATAGATTGGGATGTAGTAGATAACACAAGGCACTGTGGGTAATTATACATGTCTCTATGTAATTTCTCAAAAATGGGGGGAAAATTACAAGTACTGACTTGGTTTTTCATAATCTTGTAGAAATTTGTGGAGCTTCAGAAGAAACACCAGGAAATGAAAATGCAAGTGAGAGAGGAAAACAGATGCCGGAAAAGAAAGCGCCGCCGAAAAGGTGTTACTTTAAAAATTAACAGAATTTATTTTTTTCCAATTAAATTAGTATCAATACATGCTGTTTTGTGGGTGGTTTGAGGTTTTCTTTCTTTTGTTTTTTTTTTTTTTAAATGAAGAATTGTATTTGAGCTGTTATCTAGGATTTTATTTTTCTGCTTGTATGCATCACTTGCAAGGTTGCAGTGAGGTTGTAGACAGATTGCTACATAGAATGCAAGTAATATATTTGTTCTCTTCTTTGAAAGGAGGCAAAACTTAATTAATGCTGATTTATTATGGTTAAGTGTATTTCAGTAGTTCTACAAAAGTTTTGCACGTTCTGGTTAAAACTTCACAGATATTGCAGGCGTTTCTTACAGCTGAGTGGTTTAAATCCACATGATCATTGTGTAAAAATCCCTGTGTGTTGATCTTTCAAAGGAAATGTGACCAGTTAGAGCTCTGTTAACTTCATTGGATGCTGTGGGGTATCACTATGTAATGTTGGATTTTTTTTTCTTTTTTTTTTCCCCTTAGCAAAGCAAAGAAAGAGCGATGAAGTGGCTCAGAGGTATAACCAGGTCAATGGGATTACCTGAGGTCTGTTAGTAGCAGGCAAAAGTGACAATAAGCCTGACCACATTCGTAGCCAAAGCCTAGCTTTGAGCATTGTGTAAATTATCTTTTAAATTTGCTCAGTGTGTCTGTTGGGCAGGCTGAGTTTGTACTGGTGATTGCTTGATGGGGTGTGATTGCTTGATTTTAAAAATCAACACAAATGTGTCATTTAATGTAACTTTTAATAGACTTAATGCTCTTCCTACTTCCTTCATACAAGCCCCTGTTCAGCCTGCTCCTTCCCTTCTATTTCCTCCTTGGCAGTGTTAGATTTATGGTTAGGCTTGATCTTAAAGAACTTTTCAACCTAAATGGTTCTTTGATTCTATCAGCTTGCTTTTAAGATTGTGAAATTACACTTACACAAAGGGGGAGCAATAATTAATTTCACTTTTTTAAAAAACTGAATGGGTGAAAAGGCCATGTCTGCCAAATGGAAGAGTTTATTTTAGCTTTGAAAAGGACATTACAAGTTGTGGAAAGTGGTTATTGTAATGACTTGTTTGTTTGTTTTTAGTAGTCAGCAGTTGGAAAATGAAGACAAATGGAAAGAACTTACACAATACTTTGGAATCAATGATAGATTTGAATCACCTATGGACAGCAGAGCTCCACAAAAGGTGACTGTTATTACAAGGGCAGTGTCTGCTTGTGTTTGGCAATAAATAATCTTGTCCTTAACTGAGATAGGAATGAAACTGAGGCTGTCTGAGGATAAATGATACAGTTGCTCTGAGGAAGGATGATTTTGTGAGCTTTTAAATAAATGTCCTTGAATGGTGGCTGTGCTTTCTTTTAAGACAGTATCCAGGCTTGTTTCCTGTCTGGTTTTGTTTTTCCTGTTTTCCTCTTGTGAGACACAGAACACTTCATATGCATTGTTTGACTTTTCCTTTTGTTTTGCTTCATTGTGTTTTAACTTTAAAATGTGTCCCATAAATTCTTCAGTTGGCACCAGTGGCTACAAGAATTAAAGGTGCAATCCTAGCATACATTTTGACTGGATTCATGACAAATTCTGTTAATAAATACTACTGTGTGACTAGTCATATCTGAAATAATTGGCACACAATGGATTAGTTAAGAATCTCACTATATTGGGAGTTTCTGATAGTGCTGTTGGCTCTATAATATTTCTTATAAAGTTCTCTGTTAAGTTCTGTTACATGAAATGTTCAGGTAGCATCCTTTATGATAATTTTTTGTATTTTTCATTTTCTTAAAGTAAATTTCTACATGCAGGTCATGAAGATTTGTTTGCTTCTTATTTTTGGTGACTATTTAGTTGTCATTGAAGTGGTCAGGATAGATCTGGAATGAGGCCCAAAGTGTTAAAGTGCAGATGTTTTAAAGTGCAGATGTTTCATTGTAATTTCAAGGATATTATTACTAGTGGAAGATATGCCTTGCTATTTTCAGAAGAGGCATCTTAACAGAATTTGCCATCGCTGCAACTTCCAATTGTGCTTTTTTTTTTCATCTACCACCTGAAATAACTCAAGTGCAGTGTTTGCAGATCACTGTTTCTCAAGAATTCCATTAGCTTGTTCCTTTTTATCTCTTAAAAAGTCTATGTTACAGAATTGTCAAATGTGTTTTCTTTGGTTTGCTAATATTTCAAATCAGTGAGGCTGTAAATTATCTTTTGTTATGAGAGTGAGTTTTTTTGTGAAATTCTGAAGTCAGTGCTATCCTTCTGTACTCCATCAGAAATTTACAGCTATAATTTCCAGGAGATAGTTACTTTGGATTGTTATGTTTTTCATAAGTGTTGCCGTTAAACAAGTTATGTTTACCTCTGAAAATAAAAAAACAACCCTTAAATCCTGAAGCTTTCTCATTGTTTTCCATAGGGCTGCTAGAATTTTTAATTTATTAGCACAGTGGAGTGGCTTTGTGCCAGAACTCTGGTTTTGGGGAAAGATAAGATCTTAGAACTGTAAGATACAGTGGTAATTGCCATTCTTCATGTTACCTGACACATATATTTCACATTTTGTTTAGAAAGCTCCAGGGATGGAAGAGATAAGCCAGATCTTCAGATGAAATTTTATTGTGACAGGCATAAACTAGCCCGTGTAATTTTTTTAACCTATAGTATTATCCCGCACATAAGGTGGAACTAATGCAATGATTTGTGCTCAGACAGCCTCTCAGTGAATTCTTAATTATACTGTCCATTACAATACACAGCCAGAGTGATTTGTGGTACACAGAAATTACAGGTTTGTGCACTGTCTTAAAGAATTTTATGAAAGAAATATTTTTAGAAAGGAGGTATTCCCTTTAAATATGTTCTTTTTGTTCTAAAGGCATTTACTTTTTTTTTTTTCCTAGTCTGGCCTGGAACTGAGCATAGAGAAGTGTGTGGCTGAAGGTGACATTGCCAAGGCTGAGGAACTGAGTGACAGATTGGCCACTCGTGAGGTAAGTGGGCTGTTAACAAAAACTCTGAGGGGTCTTTTAGTTTTGCACATCTGGACTGAGAGTGTCATGAGTAGAACAGCATTGAAGGTTGTTGGCAGCATCTTTCGCGTTTCCTGAGCAGATGCAGTCAGTGATTGAAGCACTTGGCTGCTGATCTGGCAATGCTTGGACACCTGTAGCTGTGTTTAAGAATTGAAAATACATCCATGAGCTGTCCCAAGTACTTGCTTTAGAGCCTTGCTGCTCACTCCACAACCCAGAGGAGTTGGTGTGGTCATCTGTGTGGAGCTTTTGTTTTTTCTCTGTGTTGCAAGCCAGGAAGACAAGAGAAGGACGTTCCCTTCCTCTCAGTTCCCTGTGCCTCATAATTTGTTTTTTTGCATTGCCTCTCCCATAATCATGGGAAGCCTGAAGACAGGTAGAGATTTAGCAAGGCTAGAGCAAATAAGGACATATGAACCCCAAGCTGTGTGCCAATACTTGTTTTTCTGTGTATTTATGTGGTCAGGAATTGATGGCTGGAAGAATTTTCAAGAAGAATGGGAGTAGATGGTTGTCTCTCTGTACTACTGCAGTAGCCTTAGAATTGTGTTGGATATTTTTTTCTCCTTGTCATAATTGTTCAGTGTATAAATACATACCTAAAACCAAGTGCAAAGTAACACAGTTTTTTTCAAGATGTTGTCTGGATAGTTGGTGTAGCTGAATAATTTCATGAAAGCTGTGCTCTCTTTGCCACAAAAGTGGGAGAGAAAAAAATCAGTATGTAGAGGTCTTAGTGAATACTTAAAACTGGTGAGGAATTTATCAGATAGCTCTGGTAACTTCATTTAAGAAACTGTTCAATTTGTGCACATAGGGCAAGTGGTAGCAGCTGAAGTAAAAATAGCTGAAGTCCACAGAGGCTGTTTTCCCCACTGCTAGTTGTGCATAGGGGAGAAAATGCAGAGGAAAAAATTAGGTTAATAAAATAATTTAAGAGTTTTGAAGCCAGATAAGAAAAAAAAAATACTATTTCAGTGAGTGGAAAAGTGATCTTTTTAAAGTCATCTGAGTAGTATGATTTAAACTATAAATCTTCTAGATTTTTACTAAAAAATAATTATATAATGTTTTGCTTTATTCCTTTATCTTGAATATTCTTCCATCTTCACAAAGGTAATGGCAATTTTCTGTCCACTGTATATGCTTGCAAAATTCAAAGGTATTAGAAGAGGATTAGGAAAGCAAAGACAAATTTTAGCTGCTTCTCATTCTCATACAAATATTTTAAATGTTTCTTAAACACAGTGTTTTAAAGTAAGCTTTAATGTAAAATTGCAGATTTAAATCTGTTTCATGCAATGCATTACAATATTGTGATGACTTTAAAAACAGACAGCTTTTGAAGTGGGAAATACAGTTAAGGTTCTCTGAGGTTGGGTAACAGTAACTGTTCCTCAGTGAGTGTTCTTACAAAATCATTAAACTCCTCCATTTAGTCACTCAGGGCAGTTTCTAATGACTAGACTCTTATCTGCCTTGTCACCAGTGATCACAAAACTTCAGCCTGCAAAGATAACAGCTATTGACAGTGGTAGGATTGTGCCCTGATGTTCCCTTCAAGTCTGACCAGCTTCTGACTGTTTTATTACCTTTCATGTGCACAACATGAAAAACACTCACTGTTCTCCTTCACAAATGTCATTATCCCATCTCCTCTAAAGTGGTTGGAGTATTATAATCAATAAAACATACTGAGGTTCTAGTGCAAATTGTTTGACTATAAAAACAAATTAATGTAAGAAGTTTTAAGGTTTTGTAATATTTATGATAAACTGTTATCTGATTTTGGTAGCCATGGGATTATACAACATCTAGCATATCCCAGGTGCTCCAGCAGTGTATTATTATTTGTGGAACATTAGCTCCAAATTGTTGACTTTCAAATATTAGCATGTTGTAATTCTGAAAACAAAATGCTTGAAACATTATTAGTATTCACAGCCTTGACTTGGTTTTGGTTAAGTGGGTTTATCTGAACAAATAATATGTTGAAAGAAGGAAAACTCAAATGGCTGGCTTGATCTCTCATGAGGAGTTCTGTCGAGGCAGAATCCATGTGAATTCACTGGGGTTCTCTGCTCTTGTGGAGATGTGCTCCATTGCTCACTGCAAGGTTCATTTTTCTTTGTGATTTTCAGAAGCTTTTTTTTAATGGATCTTTTAAAATATTTTTTTTTTTCCTAAGGAAATTCTTCTAACAGTGACTGTTTCAGTGAAGAGCTATAAAAAGAGGATTTGATTATGGAAGAGGCTGATTGAACAGTCATTGTTTTGTACACAAGTACACTTAATAAAATACTGCTTTCATGTTGTATTCATTCAATTGCTACTTTTCTTCTCTTAGCAGTTTACAGAAATGTTTATTTTAATATACAATGCCTCTAAGAAGTGAGTTAATTTTAAATTATGTGGCTATTTGTATCCCTCTAACTTCCAAATGCAGCACAGCTCTGTGGAATTGCACTGTGGCTGTATTGAAGTACACCCCTTCTGAAGTCTGGGGTAATAAGTGGATGAATTATTGTTCTTTTATCTCAACTTCATCTCTTTATGTATACTTTTCATTTTTCTTGAGTGGTGTCACAGGGCTGGGGACAGAGAGTGTGTGAGAAAGAGCTGTGTGGTGTTTGGGGTGCAGCCCCCCTTGCAGCCATGTGAGAAATGTTCAGTGGGTAGGTGTTCTTTTTGAAATCAGGTGTATGGGGTTTTAATCGGCACCATTTTCTTTTGCAAGAAGCAGTGACTGGAACCTGCTGATAAAGCTTTTGCTTTGAGGCACAGATCCCAGAGTTCTTACAGCCGTTTCCTGCCTGAATAAGTGAAACTAATTTTTGATGTATAACATTTATAAGCCTGTGAAACTGATAGGGCAGCTTCAGTATTTAGAAAAATGAAGCCAAAAATAAACAGATGATGAGTATAGACGGTAGAAACATGTCCTAAAAAGCAAAGGAATGTCAAAATGATGCTGTCAATATCCTGTCGTTGTGACACACTGAGAAAAGGTTTTTTAAAATCAGATTCATTTAAAATCAGTGATGACTTAGGCAATATGCATAATCTAGCAGCTGTCAGTGCATCATGGAATTTTGCATTCTAAAAACCTAAATGATTCAGCTTTAAGGTTTTGGGTCTTCAGGTTTCCAGGTGGAACTTGTTGCAGGTTCTTTAAGGAAAATGCTGCTGCACTGATCAAATGAACCTTTGGGTAATATATTTGTTGTTTTCTTTCCCTGATTTTAAAACAAAGCTTCTCAATCCAGGAGCATTCAAGGTTTTGGAGTGAGAATTAGAACTTGAGCACCTCCTGCATGAGGCTGTATTTACTGGTGGCTGCATGGGTGGATTCATATGTAGCTTTTGGGACTGGCTGGTGTGTTCCCCCTCTTTTGTTGGCAGTTGCATTTTTATTATAAAAATGAACTGTATGTATTACACTGCTGAATATTTTGTCTAATCTCTGGGCAAACCTCACTGCCAAGTGTTACCCCTTGTCTCCTGCTGTCAGTCATCAGAGTAGCAGATCTCTACCTGTGGCATCCTTGGCCATCCCCACAGCGCATTCTCTTGTGGAGTGTTCTGCTTCCCTGAGAGGTGTGGTGATCCTGGAGTTCTTGATTTCATTATTTTATACACAAGTGAAGATTCTCCTGAAAAAATATGGGCATCTCTGCATTATGTGGTAGAGAATAATTTAGGCCTTCAGTAAGTCTGCTCCTTCAGCTTCTGGCTGGAGCACCTCAGTGCTGTGATGAAATTGCAGTGTCCAAGGTCAACACTGCTTTGATAAATGTGTTGAGCAGCAAAATAATGCAGTGGGTCATACTCCTTAATTCACTGTAGAGCTTCAAGCTCAGTTAGACTGAATTATTTCTTTAATACCTTCAGTACAGTACTATTAGTATTAAAAAATGTACAATTCATTGCAGCGTGCATGGTACAATATGCACAGTTAGTGTTTATTGTTGTAATCCTGTTGCTGTCTTTGTTATCACATTCCAGGGCTTCCAGCATGGGCAGAGTCCTTCATGTTTTATAGTTGTGCTGTTCAGATGTGGCCTGGCAAACCTAAAGCTGTTGTTTGAACATTGCATTTAAGGATGACTTATTTAACTTGAGTGATGCCAATAGAAATGTTAATGTAGGAGTTACCCAAAAAAAAAAAATCTGAGCCTTTTAGAATGAAAGTTATAAAGAGAATAAAGCACATGTGAACATTTCTCTGGGCTGAAATGACAAGATTTTTTTGGTGGTGCCTTAGGGTAGGATAGCTGAGATCTAATAGTAGCAGATTCTTGGGATATGGAGCTGGGAACAGACACTTGGAATTATGTCAACTTCTTAATGCTTTGTAAAAATTTTTTCTGGAATTCTATCTTGAGATGTAATTAAATTGTTCCTACTGTGTTAGTGGGAATCCACCTAGATTTCTTTAAAGAATAAATGTTGATAAATTAGAGCACTGTGACTGTGAATAGCTGGATGTGTTTATCCCTTTGAGAATGGATGGCATGTGCAGATATCTGCTAATTTCACTCTGCTTTAAATCAGTTTCAATCTGGAGTGATACTTGTAAAAATTTTCATAGGTAAACCAAAAAAATCTTAAAAGATTCCCCACCACCATTCCTTACATATATTTTTCCTCCTAGAGAATGAGTTTTTTTCTTAGTGTTTTTGTGCTCAAATCATGGTTTGGTTGTATTCTACAAAATGCAGAATACAGATTTCTTATGGCTCTAGTACTGTGAGAACTAATCTTACTAAAGCCCAAACTTTGCACATATTGGTGGGGTTTTTTTGTGTGAGCTGCCTGGTAGGCAGGTGCCACATTGTCTGAGAACACGTTAGCCTGAGGACTGTAACTTGAACACACTTATATCATCTTGACCATATTAGACTTACCTGTCAAAAGTAACTTCTAAAATATTTTGTAATTTAGTGTGCTAAATTGCT